TTCTATTTGAATTTGCACCATATTTTATCTACTTGCATATAGCTGTAAATGTATCTGCAGCAAACACTCATTCTTTAGGAGATGTATTTCCAAGGACAGTATAATATGGGGAAAATGCAAAATCTGTCTGAGATGGGAAGATGCCCAACTGTGAGGAACGTGAGAATGGAAATATATGAGGTGTGACAATAAAGTAATAAAACTAATTTCCTTGTGTGGTTCATAAACTAGCTCTAAAGTCACTCCCATGAATGGAGTTCCAAAAATGCTCTGAGCAGTGGCAGACCTACAAAATCGGCTCATCAGAGCCCCGATTCCAGTGCTAAACAGTATAGCACACATTGGGGCATGAACATCTCTCTGTGTTTGAAAAAATATATCCCCTTACACACCTTACTTTGTAAAGTTCACGGATGTAATCTTATTGAAAGTCTATGACAAACTTCTTATGAATTTCTTTGAGACACTTGACAAAGCTTTAAAGCTCCAAATATTTTCCACAGAAATAATCACATTGCTTATAGCATGTTATAGCATATTCTGATGAAGTGAGTTTATCTAACCTGAATATCAGGAGTATGAATAGTTGCTTTCTGTGAAAAAAAATTAAGAAACTTAAGAAGGAAATGTAGAAGAATCAATCAAGAAGTATCAGTGGTCCAAGGAGAATCCCAACAAGCAAGAAGGTTTTCCAAAGAGTACAAATAAGTAAAAAGTAATAATATCTCTCTTCCTGACAACTATGCTCTGGAGGGACTTCAAATAGATTGTATATTAAAATTTTAAAGTATCATTTCACTGCTCCTTTGAATTTGTTAGACTAAATCTTAACACTTAATTGATACTGATCTAACTAGGAAAGGAGGTAAGTATACTTTTTGTCAAGCAAAACAGGTACGTCATTCACATTTTTTACATTTAATAAATTCACATTTTTTACATTTGATAAAATTATTTTATGAAATTGCTTCTTTGCCTGAAGATGAATTTTCTTCCACATTTTTTACATTAACTGCTAATAGTTTCATTGTGTAAGTTCTCCTTTAAATAAAAAGCATCAAATGACTTAGAAATTAGGTGAGAAATTAGGCTTTTGATAATACCCAATTCAATAATGGTCTTCCCTGGTGGCTCAGATGATAAAGAATCTACCTGCAATGCAGGAGACCTGGGTTCGATCCCTGGGTTGGGAAGATCCCCTGGAGGAGAGCATGGCAACCCACTCCAGTATTTTTGCCTGGGGAATCCCCGTGGATAGAGGAGCCTGATGGGCTATAGTCCATGGGGTCGCAAGGAGTCAGACATGACTGAGTGACTAAGCACAGTGAAAAAAATCATTTCTTAGTCACTGGCAACATTAGTGAAGGATCAAAACCAGTTATGTTGAGGCCATATGTTTGATGAATCATGTCAAAGAGGGGACTTTTTGACTTATGTGTGTGGTTATTAAAAGAAGAAAACCCAAACCCAGAAAAGTGGTTTACCCGACATCTCATTGCAAGTCAACGGAGCCAGCATTCAATTTCAGCTAACCGCAAGCACTGTGTAACCAACCATTTTCTGTTCTGTTTACACGAACCAGTCACATTTATAAAGGTCAAGCTCCGCCTCTCTGGAAGGGGCAGTTGGTCATGGCCAGTGGCAGAGTCACCTGGCCACTCATTAGTCTACTAGTTACAAAATGAGCTGGGTGGGATCCCCACTGGTACCGGCACACAACCTTAAACTAGGGCCACCTGGGCCCGGCCCACTGGGGAGGGATGTGCTGTTTTCTCTACTTGTGGACACCTGACTGAAGGGGCAAGGGTGAGCTGAAAGCCAGCCCGTGTTCTGGGTTATGGCTCACTTTATGCATCATGGTGGCTGAATCTTGGTGCCCTGATATTTGGTCATACATTATTCTGGGTACTTCTGGGAAGCTGTCTGCTTAGATATGATTAATATTTGAATCAGTGGGTTTTGAGTAGAGCAGTTCACCCTCTATCATGTGGCTGGGCCTCATCCAGCCAGTTGGGGCTTAGTGGAACAAAGACTGACCACCCAGAGAGAAATTCTGCCATCAGACTCCCTTTGACCTTGGAGCAACAACACCTCCCCAGCCTCCAGCCTGGCAGTCAGGCATAGCAGATTCTGGACTCGCCAGGCCTCTCCCATTGTGTGAGCCAAATCCTCATCTCAATCTGTGTGTGTGTGTGTACACAGGTGAGCACACGCACACCTATGAGATATGTGTGCGCTCAGTCGTGTCTGACTCTTTGCGACCCCGTGAACTGGAGCCCGCCAGCCTCCTCTGTCCGTGGGATTCTCCAGGCAAGATTACTGGAGTGGGTTGCCACTCCTCCTCCAGAGGGTCTTCCCGACCCAGGGACCACGCCCACATCTCTTGTGTGCCCTGCATTGGCAGGCAGACTCTTTACCACGGAGCCACCTGGGGTCCTAATGCTCCTGTTTCTTCTTGGCTAGTACACTCTGTTCACCGAGACATTCGTTCACTAGTCTAGGTGTAAGAGGCGCTGATTTATAACCTTCGTAAAGATACACGACAGGCTAACAAAGGGCCTATTTTTCTTTCATTGTCACTTATTTTTCACCCCATAACTAATAACAAACACTGAGGGTTTATTTGACTTAGTGCCTTGGAACAAATGTTTTAAATGTTAAACAGACTTGAAGTATGCCCTTGAAAAATGCCTGGAGCCTCAGAAAAACATGCAACGCAACAATCCTGGAAAAGAGATCAGAAAGGACCATCAGGGGGTAAAGACTCCCCTCCGGGCCCTGTTCCTCCTCCACTCTGCGGCTTTGAGGCATGGCTTCCTCTTCCCCTGGGGACCGTGGCCTCTCTTGTTGCTGAATGCCCCACTGCCTGCATCCCTCACACTTGTGTGAGCCCTACTCAGACGATCCTTTTTGTCGCTGTCTGTGGACTGGACTCTGACTCTACACAACTCAGCTGCGACAGCTCAGAAAAAAGGTCCTGGTTTCTTCTCTTGACAAGTCTAGGCTTTGGGGCAGTGGAATTTGATGCGTATTTATCAATTCCTGCTGCCCTGGTCTACTTCCTGTAGATGTTCCTTAATAAATTAACATTAATTAGTACTTGAAACATAGTCCCAGTCCCTAAAAGTAAAATATTATAATTAGAGTTAAGTAGGATCTTGAACCATTTGCTTTCTCTATTTGTAGCACATTCGATATGTAGTATTTTTCTATCAAAAATGATACATAGCAAAATTATTTTAACTCAATAAAATGAGGAGCTGCATGCTGCTAATGAGTGTCATAAAAAGGGGAGCTCCAGAAGCATAATGATGACAAAAATTTTAATGAACAATCTCAAGGCAGAAGATCACAGATTAAGGCATACCCTGCATATCCCAGAAAACTGACTGGAATATGGAATGGCTTTGGGAGAAGAAAAGCCAAGAAAACAAGTCACATGCAATTTTGGTAACTTTTTGGTTTCTATACCATGAATATTAACTAGTCTCACAAATATATATATTTTCATTTTAAAGTTTCTTGCAAGATATTATATGTTTGATGATTTGGGTGTGGATTGGTTTATTTACTGTGGAAGAATGACCTGAAGCAAAAGAGAGGTTTATTTTCAACAAAATATTCTCTAGTTAAAGCATAATTATCCACATTTAATGGAACACCACCATCTCTTCCTCTTTTCAAATTCTTCCCTGACCTTGTGGATCCCAGACTTTAGACTTCAGAACAGCTCAGGCCTGTCTCAGTTCAGCGCTGATTTCGTCACCTCACCGTTATATTCCTATGCACATAACCTTATGTTACTAGATTCTAAACTTTTTCAAAGCAGGAAATTTGTTTCTAAGAATTCTTTGCATCTTGACCATGGCACCTTCTAGTTGAGTGGTCAATATGTAACCAGCACTATCTCTTCTTTGGGCAATGTTGGACCTATTAGACGGGACTCGCTTTCTGTTTTGAAACATGATGAAGACAAGGAGTAATTTAAATTGAATTTGGTTAATTAACAAAGAATCCATACTTGGTGTTCTAGGAACAAAGAAGCTTGCCATTTGGTGTTCTAGGACCAGTGAAGCTTGCCATTTGGTGTTCTAGGAACAAAGAAGCTTGCCATTTGGTGTTCTAGGAACAATGAAGCTTGCCATTTGGTTTTCTAGGAACAATGAAGCTTGCCATTTGAGAGATCACAGTTCACATCACCTGAATCCACCTTCCTTGTGGCTCTTTGGTAGAAAGAAACGAAAGTTGTTACAGATGAAAATTAACAGAAACTAACAAGAGCACACAGATCTTTTACCATCCCCAGCAAGCAGTGCATATTGTTGTCCTATTATCTTAATGACACGCAGTCTGTAATACGTTTGTAGCACCTATTCCCTATGAAGCATTCCAGAATCAGCTCTCTGCATTTAGCTGCCCTGGTCAGACCCTCAGCTTGCATTCAAGTTAACTTTCCTACATCTTTGTTGTGTAAGCGAAAAAACAATTGGCCATAAAGAGACTCGTTCTCATTCAAAAATACTTAGAAACAAATTTTTGAAATTTAAGTTTCTCTTTGGTTACCAGCTTCCCATAGGTTTGTTAGATTTATATTCATTATCTACAAGTCTTAAAGAGAGTAGAAAGAAGGAGCATTCTTCAGATCACCTATGATTCATTCATTTCTTTTTTTTTTTTTTTGTTTTTCAATGAATATTTAATAACAAGGTAGATAACATATGCTTATCTAATATTTTTATATCACTGAGGGTAAAGCAAAATGTCCTGTTTACTGGGTAAGTATGACCTGCTGTATGTGGACACTGCAGTGAAATTTAAAAAATACTGTAATTATAATTTCAGAACTTCAGAATCTGAATAGGTGCCAGTGTTCTCTCCTTTTTTAATATGGGAAAAGAAAATCCTTTGAAGATCATTTGAAGCTTGGACCAAAATTCCATAGCTCTATTATTAGGATCACTCTGTAGTCTTCAGGATTCAGATACAAGGGAAGCTTCAATTCAACCTTTTAGAGAAGACATTCCAGCTCTCATGATCTCATCAACCAGGAGAATGTTGGTGGCAATCACAGTGCAGGAGTGAAGAAGCTGTTTCTTTACACAATAGTTATCCCATATGCCTGCTTCTGCTGCTACCATTGGTTCACCAGTGTTCAAGTCCACACCCACAAGCTGACCGGATTCTGAATGTTCTGCTTGAACTTTAACTAGTGTTTCCTGAAGGTCAAAACCAGAGTTCTGAGCAAGAACCTTGGGAATAATGAGCAATGCATCAGCAAATGCTTGGACTCCAAGCTGGGCCCTGCCCTTTACACTGGGCTTGTATTTAACCAGGGCTTCTGCCATTGCCACTTCCACTGCGCCAGCACCTGGGACTACACAGCCATCGTCAATAGCATTTTTAACAGCCCTCAAGCCATCTCTTATTGCATCTTTGATTTGAGTAAGCGTGTGCTTATTTGGTCCTTTGATCAATAATGTGACAGAGCGAGGATTGTTACATTTCTCAATAAAGGTGAACTTCTCTTCTCCCAATGTATATTCATAGACAAGTCCTGCATGTCCCAAACAATCAGGATTTAGGTCATCAAGAGAATTTAGGGCTATCCCACCACAAGCAAGAGTCAGCCTTTCCATGTTTCTCCTTTTAGCTCTGCGCAGAGCTATTATGCCTTCTTTGGCAAGAGCATCTAAGGAAAAGGGATCAATTCCCTTTTGATTAATAACAACAAATCCTTTATCTGAATCACCACAGACTTTCTTTTTCAGGTCAATTATTTTTTTAACTCTGTCTTCGATGAATTTCCTTTCAGCTTTCACTAATTTCTCTCTCTCCTCTGCACTCTTGTAAAAAAAAGCCAGAATTCACTTCTGTTTTTTCTTTTTTTTTTTTTTGTTTTTGTTTTTGTTTTTTTTTTTTTATTTTTTTTATTTTTTATCACAACCATAGTGTATCTTTTTTTTTTTTTTTTTACATGTATTCCCCATCCCGGTCCCCCCTCCCACCTCCCTCTCCACCCAATCCCTCTGGGTCTTCCCAGTGCACCAGGCCCGAGCACTTGTCTCATGCACCCAACCTGGGCTGGTGAACTGTTTCACCCTAGATAATATACGTGTTTCAATGCTGTTCTCTTGAAACATCCCACCCTCACCTTCTCCCAGAGTCCACAAGTCTGTTCTATACATAGGAGTCTCTTTTTCTGTTTTGCACATAGGGTTATCGTTACCATCTTTCTAAATTCCATATATATGTGTTAGTATACTGTAATGGTCTTTATCTTTCTGGCTTACTTCGCTCTGTATAATGGGCTCCAGTTTCATCCATCTCATTAGAACTGATTCAAATGAATTCTTTTTAATGGCTGAGTAATATTCCATGGTGTATATGTACCACAGCTTCCTCATCCATTCGTCTGCTGATGGGCATCTAGGTTGCTTCCATGTCCTGGCTATTATAAACAGTGCTGCGATGAACATTGGGGTGCACGTGTCTCTTTCAGATCTGGTTTCCTCGGTGTGTATGCCCAGAAGTGGGATTGCTGGGTCATACTTCTGTTTTTTCATATTCTAATGACACGTTGCATGTGAGGATGTATGCATCTTCTACTCTCTTCTTCATATCAGGATGCCGTGCCCCGTGGTCCAAAACAAGACCTCTGATTAAGCTTGTATCTGTTTCAGATTTATGTTTCATCTCCATGATCTCAACCATGAAGAGATCAATAGGTTCATCTTGTTTTTTAATGGCCAAAATGGAGTCCACGACAGCCTCTGTTAAGACGTCAGTGAGTTCAGCATGAACTTTAGTACGTAGAGATGTTCTCGCCACGTCTATAAGTGTTTCCCTATCCATCTCTTTGCTTACTTTGACTTGTTCCAAAAACTGAAGTGCCTTTTCCTTTGCAGCTTCAAATCCTTCTGTAATTATTCTGGGATGAAGACCTTCAGAAATGTAGAGATCCGCCTGCTTCAGCAGCTCTCCAATGATGAGGACATTGGAAGTAGTACCATCACCAGTTATGTCATCCTGGGCTGTTGCTACTTTGGCTATTAAGGAGGCTGTTGGGTGTTGAATTTGCATTTCATGAAGCAGCACATTTCCATCTTTAGTGAGTTTGATGTCTCCAGCACCAGAAACAAGCATCTTCATGGTGCCCTTAGGCCCCAAGTTGGTCCTCAGCACGTCCTGCAGCCCCCGGGCCGCGCTAATGTTGACCGCCAATGCCGCCTGCGCTCGGGCCACCTCGGCCTTGGGGTTCAGGGTCTTCACAGCCGCCATAGCTGACCCAACAGAGGAGATTCATTCATTTCTTTCTTTAAAATAGTTATTGAACATAGAGTATGTTCCAGACACACTGCTAATTCTGGGGAGATAACTGAAAACAAGGCATTCAACAGGGCTACCAACAAAATTCAGATTTTTAACAAGCAGATGTATCTTGGCCTTGACAACATAAAAAACATCTTCTGAGGCAATAACACACGCAAAACAATTAGCTAAGATACTATGAATTAAGCTAACTACAGCAGACAATTTTAAAGCTAAATAGAATTGACGTAGACTATGAGATTAAGAAGTTTAGCTCAGAAAAAATACCTGGTCATAGTACTTTATGGTGCAACCAGTACTAAATTTTTGTTTTCTGATAGATTGCATTATTTCATGGAATGGGACAAGAACAAGGCCAAGACCCAGAATAATATCAACTCAAATCCATTTCAGTCATACATACATTTCATTCTCCCTTTTCTACTTCCTCTTCTGAATAATTCCAGCATTCTGCCTTTACTGAAAAGAAATAAATCACAGACAAAACAAAGAAACTAAGAATGGTGTTCTTACCAGTGGCACAAATCAAAGGACGTGTCCCATGAATTTGGTCAGATTTGGAGATTTATTTGATTTTTTTCCCTTTGCACTTGTTGAAAGAAAGAAAATACGACAGCATCTCTCAAAGAAGAAATCCCAAACTCAAAAAACAAAGTGAGAAGAAAACAGCTACCTTTTTCTCTCTGAATCAAAAGTTGAAAACAATTCCAGGACATAGTCTCCCAAACATTGCTTGTGAACATTATTAACCAACTTAAACATAGTTTGCTGCTATCCACAGTCACTCCTCACAAATCACCAGTCTGCATCTGTAGAAAGTCATTGGAGGGGCTCCGACTGCCTCTCAGAAAAACTTTTCTGTATATCTATATTTTAAGTCAGAGCATTCCAACCACACACCCAAACTTAAGGCAAATACATTACGCAGCTTCATGTGAGGCTATAAGACAAAGCAGAACCAGAACACTGATTTGATGTATCCATATTTACAAACTATGATATATCACACAAGAATCTAACTGCATACCTCCTTAAAATTTCATTAAGTGTAAACAATACCTAGGTCAGAAAATTTTATAGAAGGATATAATTACATTTACAATGTAAAAAGAAGTTGTAAACTGAATAATCTTATTGACAAAATTTCATGAGTGTCTCTTCCCTTTTTATGGGAACGTTGTTACTGTGGCAAAAAATGCATAAAATACAGTTTTAAGTATAACTACATGCATATTGTTGTGCAACAGATCCGAGGAATTTTTCATCTTGCAAAACTGAAATACTCTATCCATTGATCAACAACCCCCTTTATCCACTGTCTTCAAGCTCTGGCAATTTTCACTCTACTTTCTAAGAGTCTGACTACTTTGAGTACCTCTTACAAGTGTAATCATGCCATTTTATTCTTTTTGTGACTAGCTTACTTCACTTAGCATAATGTCAAGGTTTATTTTATTACTTTTGTAGCATACAACAGTATTTCCGTTTTTAAGGCTGATCACTTACATATATACATTGGAGAAGGAAGGAGCGAACCACTCCAGTATTCTTGCCTAGAAAATCCCATGAACAAAAGAGCCTGGAGGGCTACAGTCCTTGGGGTCACAAAGAGCCGAACATGACTGAGCAACTAACAGAGGCATATGTGTAAATATAAATATATGTATTACACACACACATAATGTTTTTCTTTATGCATTAATACACAGTGGATGTTTAATTTGTTTCCACCTCTCGATTATTGTGAATAATGATATCAGTTCAGTTCAGTTGCTCAGTTGTGTCCGATTCTTTGCGACCCCATGAACTGCAGCACGCCAGGCCTCCCTGTCCATCACAAACTCCCAGAGTTTACTCAAACTCATGTCCATCGAGTCGGTGATGCCATCCAGCCATCTCATCCTCTGTTGTCCCCTTCTCCTCCTGCCCTCAGTCTTTCCCAGCATCAGGGTCTTTTCAAATGAGTCAGCTCTTCACATCAGGTGGCCAAAGTACTGGAGTTTCAGCTTCAGCATCACTCCTTCCAATGAACACCCAGGGCTGATCTCCTTTAGGATGGACTGGTTGGATCTCCTTGCAGTCCAAGGGACTCTCAAGAGTCTTCTCCAAAACCACAGTTCAAAAGCATCAATTCTTCAGCGCTCAGCTTTCTTTATAGTCCAACTCTCACATCCATACATGACCACTGGACAAACCATAGCCTTGACTAGACGGACTTTTGTTGACAAACTAATGTCTCTGCTTTTTAATATGCTATCTAGGTTGGTCATAACTTCCTTTCCAAGGAGTAAGCATCTTTTAATTTCATAGCTGCAATCATCATCTGCAGTGATTTTGGAGCCCCCCCAAAATAAAAGACAGCCACTATTTCCACGGTTTCCCCATCTATTTGCCATGAAGTGATGGGACTGGGTGCCATGATCTTAGTTTTCTGAATGTTGAGTTTTAAGCCAACTTTTTCACTCTCCTCTTTCACTTTCATCAAGAGGCTCTTTAGTTCCTCTTCACTTTCTGCCATAAGGGTGGTGTCATCTGCATATCTGAGGTTATTGATATTTCTCCCAGCAATCTTGATTCCAGTTTGTGCTTCTTCAGTCCAGCGTTTCTCATGATGTACTCTGCATATAAGTTAAATAAGCAGGGCGACAATATACAGCCTTGACTTACTCCTTTTCCTATTTGGAACCAGTCTGTTGTTCCATGTGCAGTTCTAACTGCTGTTGCTTCCTGACCTACATACAGGTTTCTCAAGATGCAGGTCTGACAGAATGTGGTCCACTGGAGAAGGGAATGGCAAACCACTTCAGTATTCTTGCCTTGAGAAGCTCATGAACAGTATGAAAAGGCAAAAAGATAGGACACTGAGAGATGAATTAGCCAGGTCAGTAGATGCCCAATATACTACTGGAGATCAGTGGAGAAATAACTCCAGAAGGAATGAAGGGAGAGAGCCAAAGCAAAAACAACACCCAGTTGTGGGTGGGACTGGTGGTAGAAGCAAGATTCAATGCTGAAAAGAGCAATATTGCATAGGAACCTGGAATGTTAGGTCCATGAATCAAAGCAAATTGGAAGTGGTCAAACAGGAGATGAAAAGAGTGAATATCGACATTCTAGGAATCAGCGAACTAAGATGGACTGGTATGGGTGAATTTAACTCAGATGACCATTATATCTACTACTGTGGGCAGGAATCCCTTAGAAGAAATGCAGTAGCCATCATAGTCAACAAAATAAATGCAGTACTTGGGTGCAATCTCAAAAATGACAGAATGATTCTCTGTTCATTTCCAATGCAAACCATTCAATATCACGGCAATCCAAATCTATGCCCCGACCAGTAATGCTGAAGGAGCTGAAGTTGAATGGTTCTATGAAGACCTACAAGACCTTCGAGAACTAACACCCAGAAAAGATGTCCTTTTCATTAGAGGGACTGGAATGCAGAAGTAGGAAGTCAAGAAACACCTGGAGTCACAGGCAGATTTGGACTTGGAGAATGGAATGAAGCAGGGCAACAGCTAGTAGAGTTTTCCCAAGAAAATGCACTCGTCATAGCAAACACCCTCTTCCAGCAACACAAGAGAAGACTCTACACATGGACATCACCAGATGGCCAACAGTGAAATTAGATTGATTATATTCTTTGTAGCCAAAGATGGACAAGCTGTATACAGTCAGCAAAACCAAGACTGTGAGCTGACTGTGGCTCAGATAATGAACTCCTTATTGCCAAATGCCAAAGAATAGCAAGCAGAGATAAGAAAGCCTTCCTTGGCGATCAATGCAAAGAAATAGAGGAAAGCAATAGAATGGGAAAGACTAGAGATCTCTTCAAGGAAATTAGAGATACCAAGGGAACATTTTATGCAAAAATGGGTTCAATAAAGGACAGAAATGGCACGGACCTAACAGAAGCAGAAGAGATTAAGAAGAGGTGGCAAGAATACACAGAAGAACTGTACATTAAATGTATTTTGCATTGATTGCTGAGGAAAGCTCTCTTATCTCTTGCTATTCTTCGGAACTCTGCATTCAAATGGGTATATCTTCCCTTTTCTCCTTTGCTTTTTGCTTCTCTTCTCTTCACAGCTATTTGTAAGGCCTCCTCAGACAGCCATTTTGCTTTTTCATTTCTTTTTCTTGGATGATCTTGATTCCTGTCTCCTGTACAATGTCATGAACCTCCATCCATAGTTCATGAGGTACTCTATCAGATCTAGTCCCTTAAATCTATTTGTCACTTTCAGTGTATAATCATAAAGGATTTGATTTAGATCATACCTGAATGGTCTAGTGGTTTTCCCGACTTTCTTCAATTTAAGTCTGAATTTGGCAATAAGGAGTTCATCATCTGAGCCACAGTCAGCTCCCAGTCTTGGTTTTACTGACTGTATAGAGCTTGTCCATCTTTGGCTACAAAGAATATAATCAATCTGATTTCGGTGTTGGCCATCTGGTGATGTCCATGTGTAGAGTCTTCTCTTGTGTTGCTGGAAGAGGGTGTTTGCTATGACGAGTGCGTTTTCTTGGGAAAACTCTATTAGCCTTTGACCTGCTACATTCTGTACTCCAAGGCCAAATTTGCTGGTGATTAAGTTGGCTTAGAGCTCAACATTCAGAAAACTAATATCATGGCATCCAGTCCCATCACTTCGTGGCAAATAGATGGGGAAACAGTGGCTGACTTTATTTTGGGGGTCTCCAAAATCACTGCAGATGGTGATTGCAGCCATGAAATTAAAAGACGCTTACTCCTTGGAAGAGAAGTTATGACCAACCTAGACAGCATATTAAAAAGCAGAGGCAGGAGGAGGAGGCAAGATGGCGGAGGAATAGGACGGGGAGACCACTTTCTCTCCTACAAATTCATCGAAAGAACATTTGAATGCTGAGCAAATTTCACAAAACAACTTCTGATCGCTAGCAGAGGACATCAGGTGCCCAGA